TACATTTTTTGAAAAACAACAACAAGAAATACCCCTAAATGAAATTTACGTCATATTACAGAGTCCAATTACCAATAACCTATCGAAAAGTTAGAAGAAAACATTTGAAGTCGTTTTTGAGAAAATGGCGTTTGACCGTTTCTGAAAAGGCATAATTTTGTGCTAGTTTTCAACAGTTGAGTATTCGAGAAACTTTGGAGGACATTATTTAAAACACATATACTCATAAATATAATAATGTGAACAAAACGCCGCTAATGTAAGCATTGACGACGTGAGAGACAAGTAAAAAATATTTCATCTTTGTATTACAAAAAAAAGTACATCAAAATTATTTTTATGTCATCTTATAGAGTACTTTTAGCACTATCCCTACCACAAGTTTGAAGAAAAAAATTTTAACCGTTTTTAAGAAAATCTTGCTTTTGTTATTTTTTAAAATTGCTCATATTGTACGCAATTTTACGCGAAAACTACTAAAAGTTTCAAAAAATATGCATGATCTTAAGGAAAGAACTCACTGTGGAAAACAAATTTTATTTGAAGGAAAAATCTAGTAATCGGTATATTCGTACCTAGTAATCATAATCTGTGTATGCAGAAAAGTATAAACTAGTGGTACCACAACAGCACATACTTTCACACATTATTAGTAATGACTACATAATATTATAATATTGCAAATTCTGTCCTTCAACCACTTCAGAACCACTTGAAAAATACCAATTCAAGCAAACAATCTGCAGTCCGAAATTATAATTATTTTGACATTCAAAAACAATAGTCATTTCTTACTTCTAGAAAAGAATCAAACAGAAAAACCAAAGCATTTCAAGCAAAACATTCTCGCTTATTGATTTTTTTATATTTCAAATTAACTAGTTGCTTTGAAGAAACTTTGAAGTAATTTGTGATATTATTTTAATTCAACACTTTTTTTTATTTTAACTACTACTTAATTACCACAAAGTGCCATTTTTATTAAAATGTTAGAATATGCACAAATTTCAGATATGTAATATTATCGAATCTCACACCTCGTTAATAATTGCATTACCCATGTAATTAAAAATTTAATGCATTTTTTATAAACACAAATGGTTCTAACGATCGTTAAAGAACCTTCTTGAAATCTGGAACGTTTTTGGGAGTAGGAGTATATGGGTTTCAAAAGCACATTTTCAGAAGTAATTAAACGACAATTAGAAAACCTGAGTCATGTCACTTTCTCGAGTACTATGAGTATTCTTCTGTACGTCCTTCTGTCTGACCTCCGTACTTCCGGCTCTGCGTTCGTACTGCCGTCCGTCCTTCCGTCTGTCCATCTTCCTGTCTATACGTCCTGGAGTCTGAATGCGCTACAGTCTGTGCTTCTCCCCCTCTGTCTGCTTGTCCGTCTGCCCGTTCGTCTGTCCGTCATCGGTCCGGCCGCATGTCTGCATTGGAGATCACAACATTATTGTCTGTCGTCAATTAGAATATTTCCTCATCAAGTTAACAGTCATGTATGTTAACGCCCTTTCTCAAAATAGAACTTTTATTTTCGAATCAGAGGAACTAACGCGACTTTTTCGGAGAGTCGAACTTTCTACATATGGCCACGGACAGAGTGTTTATTTAGTGAAACCTTGAGCGCGGGGACGTCCAAGTAAAAGTCGAAGTGAAATGCCGAGAGGGAGAGTGAGCGTGGGGAATAAGGCGCATGACGTCGCTTTGCGTCAGTGCGAGCCAGCTAGCGGATGCAGAGCGGCGAGGAAAGCGGCGTATCTGCGGCTGCGCTATCAGCTCGGGCGCCGCCGGAAGCCCTCGGCGACACCATGGCCGCCGCCGCCTCCATTGCCATCGCCATCACCGTCACCGCTTGTCGCCACCACAGCAGAGATGCCACTACCAATCAGGGTGCTATTTAAAAAAAATCAGTCAGGAACTTAGAGCTTGTCCCGGCTGGGAGGCTGTACCCCTGGTGATAGACACCTTTTTTTACGTAAAAGCCACTATCCTTTTCTGAGCATTGAGTGTCTATGCGTCGGAGAAATCCTCCGTCAAGGAAATGACCGTTTGTCTTGTCATGTCGCAGTCAGTCAGACAGTGCCTTTTATCCAATCACCCAGAACAGTACCTTTGACCGGGAGGTCCTAGGATTCTATTTCCGACATTGGTAGGATTTTCGACTCTAGCTAAACTGCTGGCTCGAATCCAGTTGCTGTCTGTAAGAGAATTCTAGCAGCCGTCTGCTCCGATCGGTAGATTTCCGAGGATTTTCCGACCAATCCCAGGCAAATGCCGGAGCAACAAACGGGCAACGGACCGCGCGCGATCTTTCCTTCCTCTTCCTTGCTCCCTCCTCGCCCCTTACTTATACATACTTACGAGTACATTTACATGCACTACACTACCACGCATGCTGAGAGACCAGTCGGGAGCTTAGAGCTTGTCCCGGCTGGGACGGTGTCCCTCTGGTGGTAGGTATCAGGTTGGGAAATATGCCCGCAAACCGACAGTAGGTCGGCGCCGGATTTCTCAATTCAGCGGAGGATGATCAGCGCGTACTTGCGCTATTAAATGTGCCTTACACTTACGCGACCAATGATCTTAACACTTGATGTACCCGGAATCAATAATCAATCATGCCGTCGTTGGCTCGGCGCCGTTAGTAAACGGGATTCTCAGGCAGTTACATATCCAAGAATCCCGGTGGCTCGAATTGCTTCACGTTTGTGACTTCACGGTGGGTAGTTAAGCAATTAGGCTAACAAAGACGGAAAGTGACGCACGGGATGCCGGAGAACATTCCCCCAGAAAGTTGGTTGTCCCCAGCACGAGAATTTTATCTTTGACAGAAATTCAAATAATCCCTACTAGGTTCCTCTTTATGTTTTGCACACTCTCAAGTGCACCAAAGAAATAAAACCAAAAAACAGAAATTTGACAAGAAAACATTCTCGAAAGAAAATTATTTTTTTCCAAGTTGATTTGTGTAAGCGAAATTTGTTCTCATTTCACTATACATTCCTCACTTCACCCAATCACAAAGAACGTATTAAAATGGCTCAACTTTCATCTTCGTTAAACCCTTAGAATTTTAGAAAATAAAAATTAGAATCAATGCGACAAAGCATATGGCATTGTTCCAATTTTTCAACACATCCATCAGTATGACATCTTTTGGGTAGAGTAACTTCAGTAGACCCTTGTAAAACACCATTTTAAGACGAAGTTTCGAGCTACAGTTTGATTCGTATGCTTGTTCCAACTCGTTGCCATTGCCATCATATATGCATATTAAAGCTGTGAATAGAACGATTTTAATGGTCTTTCTATTTGGTTCCCAGTGAAAGATTTAAACACGTGAGGTATCAAAAAAATAATAAATAAAATTAGGAGTGGAGTTCACTATATATTGAATAAAGAACAGATTTCCTTTATTGATAAAAAGCTTCGAAATTTGCGTTGTTTGAAATGCGCGACTAAAATGGAAACCAGAAGACGGCGTCATGCGTAACTTGATACGTTAGCGGGAAATAGAATAGCAGTTGATCTTACTTTGAGAACAACGTGTTGTGCGATCGCTAAAACGATTGTTTCTATCAATTGTAAGTATTCAATGTACTTTTTTAAATCATTTCTTAAATACAACATTCTTGGGATATCTACGGAAAACATGAAAGAGGTGAGGGAGTCCTGATTGTAATTTAGAAATTGTATTTCATTCATTTTGTTACATTCATTAAGGTAAGTCCGAAAGCATGACGTGTTCTTATAGGCCAAAAAACATCCATGTAAGTAAAAATCTTGGAAAATATAAACCATCATGTATGTTCATGGGTATGCAGTGTTTTCTGTTGTAACTTTTCCACAGCACTTCCTTCTACGCGATTTAATCGCATGGGTTTAGCTAATTACTGCCACCGCTGCAACTTCACTTCCACTAGCAACGTCGCGCGTCGCTCGACTGTCGCTAGCGCTTCCATTGACAACAGCAGCGCCTCTGCCTTCACCGCCTTCGCCACCAAGTCGCCGCCGCCAGCGGCCCCCCCCCCCTTCCACTGCCGTCATCGCTGTCACGCAGCCTTTGTCAGTGCTCCCCATATAAAGAATTAATTAGTTTGGGTCTAGGGCGCCCCACAGCCCTTCAGAAAGCCAGAGAAACCTTGTTCCTTACATTTGAATCTAAATATCCGCTGCTTAACACAGCTATTTACTGTTCTAGAGTGGTCTATTCTCTGCCACTAGTATCACCGCCTCCGCCACAGCTATTGCCTCCATCGACCGCAGTTCTATGCTCTCATTTTCAGCTCCTTAGCCACACACACACAGAAAAAACCCTGGCTTCATGGAATTGGCTTTGCTTGCACCGACGCTATCTCACCCGCCAACAGTCTGCGTTGCCTTCCCCCACCGCGCCGAAAACAAAAGGCGAAATCAACACCACCATATCCGCCTGCATTTCGCTCATCACCATCACCATCACCGTCACAGCCGTTCCCGTCTCCTACTGCCTCCTCAACCGCTACCGCTGCTATCACCACCACCGCCGCCACAGCCTCCACCACCGCCATTTCCACCACCATCATCATGACCGCCTTCGCCAACGCCATGCTGCCGTTTGCTACACCCAACGCGACTATCACCCCCACCGCCTCCACAGTCTTCACGACCACCTCCGACTCCACAAACGCGGGGCTGCCATTCTCTACGCCAAGCGCTGCTATCTCCACCACATTGCCCCCACCACCATCTTCACAACCGCCTCTGTCTCTACCAACGCCCCGCTGCCATTTACAGCGCCAACGCAACCTCCAACATAGTAACAGCTGCCCAAGCTTTAGGGAACTGCCGTTGCCCCAGCGACGCTATCAGCGCCGCCAGCGCGCATTCGGCCTCGGTAGCCTTTCCCACCTCCCGCGCGCGCCAACGAAAGGCGCAGCCCTCTCCACCACATCCGCCCGCGCGACCGTCATCGCCTCCGCCGGGGCCCGCGCGGAAGCCGGCCTCGCCACAACGGCCGGGCGAGCGGGCGAGCGAGCTCGCGGGTGGAAGAGCGAGCAAGTGAGTTCGCGGGCCAAGGAGCTGGGTGAAGACGCGGGCGAAGGCACGGCGAAGGAGCGACGAAGGAGCGGCGAAGGAGCGGCGAAGGAGCGGTGAAGGAGCAACGAAGGAGTGACGAAGGAACGACGAAGGAGCGACGAAGGAGCGACGAAGGAGCGACGAAGGAGCGGTGAAGGAGCGACGAAGGAGCGACAAGGAGCGGCGAAGGAGCGACGAAGGAGCGACGAAGGAGCGACAAAGGAACAACGAAGGAGCGACGAAGAGCGACGAAGGAGCGGTGAAGGAGTGACGAAGGTGCGACGAAGGAACGGTGAAGGAGCGGCGAAGGCGCGGCGAAGGAACAGAGAAAGGAGGACGAAGGAGCGCCATAAGAGCGGGCTAGCTTGCGGGCAACGAAGGTCGCGGACGAAGGTGCGTCCACCGGGAGACAGCGCCACCGCTGCGGGAGGATGGCCACCTCGGCGCAGGCGGTGTTCCGCGTGTGCACGCACCTCTGCGTGCCGGCGTGCGTCGTGCTGGCCGGCGCGTTGGCCGCCTCCCTGTCGGGCTGCCGGCGCCGCGGGGCCGGCTCCGCGCACCGCCGCGCCCTCGCCGCGCACATCGCCACCCTCTTCTTCGTGCAGCTCGCGCGCACGCTGTATCTCTTCCAGGCCATCCCGTGCCCCGACGCAGGTACCGTCCTTTCATGTCTTCACACCGCTCGTCTGTCACCGCCGGAACCCGGATTCGAAGCTCAGGCGAGGCTCGTGGAATTAGTATAGGACTGTGCGGGTTCTCGGCAGATTTTCTCGGGGTTCCCCTGTTTTTTCTGACTTTTATTCCTCAACATCATCGTCATACATATCATAATAAACAAACTCGACCCAACACAATCATATCTTGTAGGTGTGGTCATTAGACAGGTTAGGCCCTGACAGTGGCGGTTCTAGTTGGGGGGAGCGTGGGGGCCATGGCCCCTCCCAAAAGGCCTTGAATTTTCGTTTGATACTCTCTTTTATTAGGCAAAATTTATTTAAATATTTATTAATGTTAGAATTATGTAATTATTTAAAAATAATATTGTATTGCATCATATATTCAGTAAAAATATTATAGATTATAATAACAAATGTTTATTATTTAACAAAAATCTACAATAGCCCTCTTCAAAATGGTCGGCTGGATCCGCCCGTACAACTGATCTCATAAAGAATATCTAAAAAGCTGTACACTCGAGAGCAGTTCCATGGCCGATAACCCTTAGAGACGGGCGTTGGGTAAACCCCTGCGGACAGTACAAAGAAATGCTAGACGCGACACGTTCATGTGAACTGCTTGACTCGTATTTCTTTCGAACCAGAAACCACTTCAACTGGGGATTTGTGGGATATATACTCGTACAATTTTCACGATGTCTAAATACAAAACACTCTCATATCCTTTACTGGTTTCCTTTACATGTTCCTACAGTTACTAGAATTGTGACAAATCCACTTCTTAAAACGTTCTACACTGATAGCTCTTACTCCTAGAAACTAAAATTCTAAGTCGTGTAACCTTAGGCAATGTACCTCGTCAATTCAAAATAATACAAAATTTAATGTTTAAAATAATATTATTTCAATTTTTTTAAATCGTCATTTATTTATATTCTCGCTCACGTATAATCGTAGAATCAAATTTATTCCATCTTTCAGTGGAATACTGAATATTTGCCAAATAAGAACAAGTCTGGCATTAATAAATCAAAAATTGCACATTTTGTTATCACTTGTATCACTATTAACTGAAGATATTCATTTTGTTTGTTATGAAATGTATATACGTATTATTCAGAAACAAACTGCATAGTACAATGTCGTTTATGTTTCAGTGCCTGTACAGAACTACATCGAACTTTCAGCTTGTTGTTGGTTGCACACTATCTGCATAAATTTTGCACTTAGCTTCCGGTGAGTAAAAATAACGAATTTCTTCTTAGAAAAATATCACAGCTTTTCCTTAATTAAGAAACTTCAAATTAATAAATAAACAAGTTTATTATTATAATGTATTATATTCTTTCCACATATTTATAAATTAAAAAGAAATTACTTAAAATTTACTAAAAAGACATTCGTTTTAAGAAAAAAATAACACTATATTTGATCTCTTATAACTTGGCTTCATTTAAAAATCATGAATGAAAATTGAGATATAAAAAGTTTCCGACACCTTGAAAATATATATTATATTTATGGGTATAGGAAACTATGGTAAATAGTAATAGATAAATTTATTATATTCAAATTAAGGGTATGAAAAATATTTACAGTAATAATAATAAAATAATAGTAATAATAATAACTAGAAAGCCGGTAAAAACTGAAGTTAACTCGATCACAAAATAACTATAGAAATGATAGTTTTGTAATGCACGAATTGTAAATATTGTTCTTGTCTTCCAACATCCAATTATTTTGACCGAGATATAATTAACCGGTATTTCAGGATAAATGAAAATAATTTTGGTGTCTATATTTTTTATTCAATTGAGCCAAGCCCAATTTGGTTCGTTTAAATTTTGTGCAATTTTCTTGAAGTAATGCCTAAGAAACATTGCCTGGCATGAATATATTTAGCTGTGTTAAAATATATTTATGTCGGGACAAATTAACCGGTAAGCGGAACATCGAGTGTGATTGTCCGACCATAAGGCAAAAATTAATAATATATAATATTTCAAAAGGAGGGATTTATAAATATATTTAATAAGATATTCATTTTCTGTCGTAATGTGATTGTTTTCTCTCCCATGGTCTTTGCAAACGTGACTATAACTTCAAACTCATTTGCTTGGTAGCACCATATTATGAAACTATGACTGCTTTCAATCGATTGATTTCAACTTGCACAACAAAACAAATTAGTAAACAAATAATGGCAAATATTGTACATTCTATTGATTTTAATATGTTATTAAAATTTGGTTCTTTGTTACAAAACCTGTTCAAAATGCAAGTGATAACACGTCTTGGGCCCGTTACATACCATTTAAAGCAAAAATCCAAAATTTGGCTGAGTAGAAAGCTCACACTACTTTCTGAACGAAAATAAGATATCAAGCAAATAATAATAATAATAATAATAATAATAATAATAATAATAGTAATAATAATAGTAATAATAATAGTAATAATAATAATAGTAATAATAATAATAATAATTTCTTTCAAAATGTTATCTCCTGAATCTCTATGAAATATTTTATATTTCATTATTTCTCTATATGAATCTACTATTTCTCTCTACTATCTATGGTGTGGCTGTTACAGATGTTATACATACTAAAACTATTTTTTTCTTTTTGAAATATGTCAAAGAACTTATAAATTCCATATATTTAGCAAATACACAATTTGACATCTTAACTGCTAAATATTAGTATTTAAATATGCTTCAATAGAAATAAGTAAATACATTTTTATTTTGCCATTAATTTCATATGACCTTGTTAGTACTATAAACTGTAATTGTAGTGGCATTGAATATATCAATAAATTATTTAAATCAACTTTTCCTTATTCTAGGAGTAACCACAATGCTAGAGACAGTTACATCAGCATCCTTTTCGGTCTAGCATACGCGTGGTGCACTCCAATGGTTCTTCTGGTCACCTTAGAACGTCACGTGGAAGGGAAATGGTTAGCCTTCCCAGATCTCCTCTACGATATTAAAACATGTTTATTTGATGGTAAGAATATTTCGTCTATTTTATGGAAAAATAGCTGCGTTGGCCGGATATTTATTTATCGACACTTCTGTGACCACGACAATTGACACGTGACGGCACGTCTATTGAAAAGGTTCAGAGGAGCGAAGAGAATGAAATAATAAAAATTCTAATGTGTTCTATATTTTGTATTTTTTCTGGTGTTGTTCTATGACCTTCAAATACAACTAATAATATCATTTGTGAAGTTATTGAAATAATGATGCTTTTGGTTGGGAAATAAAAGACCATGTGACCCTATTATAATATTAATATAACAGAAAATCAAATATCAAGGAACAATAATTTCAGGATTATAGGTGCACAACCTCGTAATCTCATTCATTTTTTGAATTGTATTGTTTTTTGACGTACTATCGCTGTACTCTTTTTTCAAAAATGGAATTTTAATGAGAGTAGGTTAAACTACCATATAATAGCTTGAAACGAGTGTTCAGATTGATACAGACGTGAAAGTACCCAAAATTAAAAGAACTGGCCATCCTTGAAAAAGTCCCCTCATTATCTGTAGACACGCTAGTACGTACTAATGATGCGCAGATCATTAGTAGAAATATTCTTCTGTACAAAACCTCACAAAATTGTTTCCAAACAGTAGAGCATATACCGCTCAAGAACAATACATAAAATACTCTTGTACGACACGACACATTAAATGTTTATTAATAATTCCTTTAGGACACTGCAATAACATAGCGTTGAATATATACCCAATACTTTAGTTCTTTATACACCAAGAATATTTAAAAAGTTGCTGCTCCATAACACGACATGTACGCAAATAATTAATAGCGGGCAGCCCTTTTCCTCGAGTCTTGCTGACGTTTGACGTCACCTGTGTCGTAAGCACTCACGCATTGAGTATAACAATTCAGTCGGTATGCTCAGTATGACGATAGGCGAAATAACAGAATCCAATATTTTCATTTATCAGTCAAAATTGAAACTGTGTCATTGGTTTTCGCATTTTCTCGCGTTTCTGGATATCTTATTACACCATAGTCACCTTTCACATATCCGGTGGCTGCATATTGTTCCTTCAATGTTTACACACATTGGAAATTAGTAATATAGATTGCTACTCATTTCTCCCACTGGCATCTTCTTACTCGCAACTGGACCACGTCACAAATCCATTCGCCGTCGACCAAGTCGTCCATGTTTTTGTACTGAGGTAAATACTCGGCCAATTTCTACAATTTGTTTGAGTTACTTTAAGTGCAATCCTCCAAAAATATTATTTTACATTAAATTATCCAATATGTATTATCCATCAATAAAAATCAGAATAAGTTTCAACGCGACAAGTTGAGAGGATGCCTTGTAAATATCACTCGCGTTTTGGAAGTTCCTCGTACATCTACTGGGGAGTTTACCAAACAATTCCAATGTACCGATGATACTAATTACGATCAATGACAATAAAAAAATGACTTCTCTTATAGGTATGTAATTCTCAGAACCAAAATTGACATTTAATGTTTCAGAGTCACCAATGCTGACAAAAGGAAGAGACATATCTCTGCAACTGGCAATATTAAAAGGAATCACTATTTTAATATCGTCTTGCTTTTTCATGTATTTGTCATATAAGACTGGTTTCCAAAAGCGGCGTGCCATTTTGTGTCAAGAAGATACCGATAACATATCAGATGTAAATGCCAGGCAGTTCCAGTAAGTATTATAAAATTTATTTTTTATTTCTGTATAATTCACAATGAGTTCCACATGAACTTTGGTGAATTGTATTTCATTATTAACAAATACAGAAAAAACATTAATTTTCAATTAAAATATTAATGAAAGTTATCCAATGGCAACACCATTTCTGAAATTAACATCTAAAGGAGTTGTATATCTTTACTCTCTACTGGTTTGTTCCATGCTATCCAACAGGTTGGGGTGATTTTAAAGTTTCTGCTAGAATCTGGGACTAAAATTTGTAATTATTTCTTTAAAAGAGTGATTCTTTACTATTAAGAAGTCTATAATATTTCAGAAATTGAAGGTTTTTAGTGGCCAGTATGCGGGATATTCTTGTGAGTCGTACGATAGGTTCATGGATATAATAGCATTATTCAACTCATCTCTATTTGTGTTTAATCCGGTGCTCCCTATTTTGCATTTATTTCTACCCTTGATGAATCTTATTCGAAAGAATTTTTAAAAAATCGTCATCTCGTTCCCTTTTGCTTATTGCTTATGAGAGCAAAAGGCGGCAGATATGCTTACGGGTCGATGTAAGGCTGAATCGAATTCACGTTACCTGCATGTGTTCTGTAATATATGCATCTCAATGGAATGTTTTTATTACGATTCCGGTATCTCCGTGATTTTTCCACAACAATTGGTTTTTGTAAATGTGATATAATTGGAGAATCGTGTATGGCTTTTAGACGTCAAGTGTGTTTGACACTCTTAATAGTATATCTATTCGACTATCAGTATAAGTGTTCGACTTCTCATCTCCTCGATTCGCATGACGTTTTGAATGTTTTGAGAATTTTAAAAAAAATGTCAAGTCGCGACCAAATTCAAAATAAATTATGCTTAACTTTGGTATTTAATTTTGCTCAGTAAATTATAGTGTGAGGTACATAGGCCTTTGTAAATTAGTACAAAAATTTAAAGATAAACATAATATTGTTTCATCGACCATACAAAATTTTAAATATTTTAAATTTTTGTTATATTATCTCTTCCTCTTTTCTTTATATTAGCTACATTGTTAATAATTCGCATTCGCCTAATGAAGTACACATACTTTTATAGGTACTTGACAGGCACTTTCAAACATTTCCCTCCTTCCAAATTGTTGTTTTTAAGTTAAAAAGAAATTCATACCAGAACGAAGTTTGAATGTGAATGATCTTGGCTGTCCGGGTGACGCGGCGTCGAAGGCTGTGTTGCAAACGCAGCTTTGGCAAGCGAAGGCAAATTCGTTTGTCTTAAAATGTTTGATCAATTATTTTGATATTATTTGCTGTAAAGCAACATCACACGAGGTTTAGTGTGGAAAATGGTAAGTAACTTGGTACAAAACTGTCGTGTTTCCTTAGTTGTACACCTGGAATATTGAGTTTCGAAAATTCACGAAAAGAAGAAGAGAAGACTTTTAGAAGATAAATAAAATAACTACCAATTCCAACATTGAAAAAAACAATAACGAGTTTACAAAAAAATGTACTTTTCTAACAACATTCCCAATCATTTCTTTACAGTTATGATTTCAGGCTGTGTTCTTAATACCAATAAAAATTCAATTACTCTTGTCCATTGGAATTTATGTTACATTGAAGTTTGCTCAGTTCTGTTCAGATGAAATTATATGGTTTACTCATTTGAAATCAGATCTGATGGAATCTGTTCATTCTTGGTCATCATATTAGGCAGTATCGAAGGCGACTGAATTTCACTGTTCGCTGTGTGCGCAGAGCCTTGAAGTACATCCTGACGATGATGGGGACGGGTGCGGTGCAAGTGACGCTGGACGTGGCGGCGTGGTACTTCACGTACCGCTACACCTTGAGCCTGTTCCTCGCGAATGGCGTGTCCCCGCAGACGACGCCCTCGCCCACCTCCATCCCTGAGGCCAGCGCGCGCTTCCTGCTGGGCCAGTGGGTCATCCTCAGCGTCTCCCTCGGGTGAGTTACTTCCGGCAGAGGTGGCTCAGGGCATCAATTCTGTAACTTTGACCCAGTTGTCCCAGGGTTCGAGTCTCGACGGTGGCAGGAGTTTCGACACTTTCTTGTCAGCCAGGTCCAATTCAGTCGCTGTCTGAAGGAGAATTCTGGAGACCGGCTGTTCTGATCGGTAGTTTTCCGTGGATGCTCCGATCAACACCAGGCGAACAAACGGGTCACGTATCGCGATCAATGTTGCCTGCCCTTTCCTCATTCTTTATTTACAAACACTTATACTTACATGCACAACACTACTATAACCAAGAGACCAGTCGGGAGCTTAGAGCGTGCCCCGACTGTAGCGGTGCCTCAGTAATGGGAGATACCTGGTTGGGGAAAAGCTCGATAGGCGACGCGTAGGTCTGCGCCAGATTTCGCCATACGACGGGGGAGATCCTCAACACCTCCCCCACGATAAAACATGCACTACACTTACGGGATTAATGACCGTAGCTTGTGACACACCCAGGATAACTAATCAATGAAACCATGCGCTTGTTGCAGCGTGGACTTCTTCCGGTCGCTGGTGGTGCTGGAGCTGATGTGGTGGGGCGGGCCGGGCGGGCGCAGCGGGGCGCGGGGCGCAGACGCCGACGAGGACTCGCTGCCGCCGTACGAGCTGGCCACGCACATGCCGCGCCCGGCGCCCCGCGCCCTGCACCCGCCGCCGCCCTCCTACGCCTCCGTCTTCGGGGAGCGCGGGCGGCGCGCGGAGGACGAGGCGGCGCTGCTGGGCGCGTCCTCCGCCTCCTCCCTCGCGCTCTGCACCCCGCCCTCGCTCTCGCCCGCGTCCTCGCCGCCGCCCTCGCCCGCGCCTGCGCCCACGCTCGCGCCAACCCTCACGCCCTCAGTCTTGCCCGCGCCCTCCTTTGCGCCCGCGCCAACGGCGTCCTCACTACCGGTCTCGCCCTTCCAGAAGCTCCCAGAGACATCTGTGTGAGTTGGCCCTGTCCGGACCAGTCGGGGCGGAAAAGCATGGCGCACTCTTCAGAATGAAGACGCTGGAAGACGCCATGAATTATCAGAGCAGGCTGTGAAAATTATACCTGTTATATAGGTTTAAAAGTGATTGATAAAATCTTTTATTAGATGTCAACAGTTAAAAGCAATCAATTTTTAATAAGAAGAAAAAACCGTGCTTGGATTTGAAAGAGGCATGATCGAGTGGAGAAATGCAAACGTGCAAGTCCACATTGGATGCACCATTTTCTACTTTTCTATTGGGTAGAATACTAGAATGTCAAGGCAGTTTTGGATAGTTACCTTTGTCACAAATCGCAATCTCTTTCTATCTTTGCTTTCCCTCATGTCCCCCTCTTCATCCCCGTCCTTGTTTCCGCCCTTACCCTTGCTCTTTCCCTTTGTCTAGCTAGTATAAGGGTCAAGACCTTGTGTATATAAGTTGCCGCTTTCCAATTCATCAATATGCCTAAGGAAAGAAAAGACTGTACTCTCAAGAGGAAGATTGTGAAAAAACTGTGATGGTTGTGGATTTTTTACTACAACTTAAGGGTCTTGCACTGAAGATAAAATGGTTGCATTAATCTCTAGCATTCCCAAAAGGGAAAGCTCAAATGCTCATCGATATATTTAAAAAATTTAAATGATTATATTTTGCAAGAAGATTAAAATCATTCATGTTGTCAATGATGTTCTATTCTATCAGAATATGATTCAATTTATTTCAAGCGTTGGTTACAATGTGGATTGTAATGTCTTCGACTATAGATTATAATAATCAGGACTATTTACTCAAAACCAGAAAACTCAGACAACATTTTGGAAATATTTGAGTATTTTAAGTCGTAGTAAACATTACAATATGAAGAATCAACAACCTCTATTTGAAAAAAATGTAATATACTTTGTCATTAAAAACAAATGTTGCAAATGCGAGAAATTCAAATTTTTCATGTAAAGAGAAATTGAATGTTTTTGTTTAAATTAATTCACATACATAGAATTAGTTTTATCAGTTTATTAAAATTATAAAGATATCAGAAAAAGTCATAAAATCAAAATCTAAACGGTGGGTCTCGCCTTTACTCCATCCACCCACTCTTGGTAGAGGAAGGGCCCCGATTCATAGCTTCATATTGCTGGGGTTAATTCCTCGATTAACAAGTTGATCAATTGCATTCTTTTTATAAACAGAAGGCAATACCAACAAACTCAATTTGCAAAGTTAAATGAAATTATAAGATATGATAAACACGCTGTGGTAAAAACTATTTGTTTTATTCTTGACCGATTTCTACTTTTCTAGCAAAACAGTGCTGCTAAGTAACTTCAGCTTTGAGCTTTCATCCTGACACCGCCCTCCCACCTCCTGTAGGGTTCCCCTGCCCATTGGCCTAGCATTGCTGATCGCTCTGTAGCGCGAATTGCTCGCGCTCGTAGCCACAGACGTCCTCAATTGGAGCAAAAACAAGCACCGTCATCGTCAGAACAGGAACACGTTTCGTAGTTTTTGTAAAAGTATCTAATTACGTTTGTTTAATTACATTTGAATTAACGAATTAGTTGATACATTATGTTCCTTCACCCGTGGAATCTTTTGTAGAATTCAGAACTTGGAAATAAGTGTCAGGAAAGTAGGATAAATCCCATAACTTCAAGTTACCTTCAATATGTATATTCTCAAATGACAAGGTAAAAACTGCGAATTTAAAAAAAAATAGTGAATTGTAATAAAATGTAAATAAAACGTCTACATTTATCTTTCGGAAATGATTTATAATACAATGATATTGTATTTCAGTATTATAGT